TTCCCCCCCGGGGAACCAACTGTTTTTTTTTTTATGGGGGGGTGTGGGGGGGGGGGGGGTTATGTCCTAATGTTTCACACACTATAATATGCAATCAATAGTTTACACATCAGTGGTTTTCAACATTTTTTTTCCATTTGCAGACTCCTAAAAAAATCTGAATGGTCGTGTGGACGTGTTTAAATTATACATGTGGATATTCACGTACTTTTGACTGATCATAGATATCTTTCGTGGATCCCTTAGACAGTCTATTGACCTCCAGGGATCCAGGGATCACATGTTGAAAACTACTGGTTTACATTAAATATTTCAGCTATATTACAAATGAATCTACTGAGACCTTAAATTTTCCACACATCTCAAAGACAGATTATGCTTTTTTCAAAGTTTGAATAACTTGCCATACACCCAGCCCATGAACGTACTGCTGCCTTGCCTTAGAAAATAGCTTTCCATAAGACATCAGCAAATCAAGTGACACTGAAATACAATCAACCACCAGTACACCATTCTTTAAGTTTAGTTAGAACCTTCTTGTAAACCATGTTCCTGTCTCCAAATCCTCTACTACACCAATCCAAATATCAAGAAGAAATGAAAAATGAAAACATGTCAACATCAGAAAAGTGAGAGTAAACAAGACTATGATGCTATACAGAATCCGCTAACTGAATAAACCAACATGCTTTCATGCATACAAACTATCAGCATGGAAAACTTCTCACTAAAGCGGCAAATTTAGAATTACATCAGTGCATTTCCCATGTGAATACCTGCACAGGAATTCTGGTATTTGCTTTGCCAGGGACCGAAAAGCCACTTTATACACAACTCTTCACTCCTTAAGCCACAAGTCACATAAGAGCTCATGCCCTTCTTCAATATAGGCTGGCCATCCTTATGGCACGAGTACCACAAGTGGCACAGGCAACCTTCTTGTTCGTCGCACACCACACATCAGGGAGAAGACAGGTAGCACACTGCCAGATAGGGCAGGGAGCAGACTGGGCAAGGAAATGATTAGAGTGACACTCTGGAAGAGTATGGAGCTAACTTGTGGCATACACCTACCAAAAAGTTTGGCCCCCTATTAGTCACCTTTACCGCAAATCTGGGTTTCTGCCAAGCTGCATTCTCTCTCACACTCTCATCCTTTGCCTCCTTTCTCTATTTAGAAAAGAAGAGGCAGGGACCATCTTTTCAGAGTGGAGTTGCCAACCTACATTACATATACCACAAGGCTCAAAGAGGCTAGGAATCAGGGTTAAGATACCAATGCTGTTAAGACCAGAAAATCACTTCAGAAGCTTAACAGAACTGACTTTCTTCAGAGGACTAACCACCAAAAGAGCCCCCCCCCGTACAGCAGCTGGTACCCATCTACACATTCTACAGCTCAAGACTCACATGGCCATCACGGACAGAGAGCAGAACATGATTAACATTTAGATGTTCTGATGTCCAAGCACCAGGATGAAAAGACATACTGGAAGTGCATAGCATACATTACAGAAATTATTTCAGCAAGTTATTCAATTAAAAAAAAATATTTATGCCCAGAAGGTGAACATAGAAGAGCCAGGCAAAGATGTCTAAATGAAAGAAAGCATGGAACATCAGGAAAAGAAGATTAAGCATAAAGGAAAGAATAAAATAACCAAATTTCAATCAGGTAATGTTAAATCTAAGCTCATTCCCCTGGGGATACTTCTAAAGACACATCAGGAAGGAAGAGCACACAACTTAAGAACTGATGGCACTATTTTCTAGCATCCACCATATAGAGGACTGGGGGCCAATCTCTCTGGTAGATGTTCCCCAAATTAGCCCCATACCCTCCTTAAGTGCCACTCTAATCACTTTCCCTTACCTAATCTACTGCTCAGCTTTCTGCTCTCTCCCCAGTCTACCATCTGCCACAGGTTGGCCAACCTTGATCCAGAGCCCACTACTGGCTCTGACCAACTGAGACCTGACTAACATGTATTACCCCCAACATACGACTAGATATTCATGACTATCATCCAGGGAGAAAAACTGATACCGACTGTCTCTACAGTAAGCCCTGGGATACTGGTTGACTTTCAAAGGAAGAAAGGAAAAAATAAAGTAAGATGTTAAACAATTACTATGTCCTCAGGTTATATGATTGCTGCTGAACAGAAGTAAAAAAGCCTTGCATTTTAAGATGAAGGTTTTTACAGACCCAAGAGAGAAAGTTCTTTCCCTCTCTCAAAAAAAGCCAATTCAAAAGTCGACTGTTAGAAGATGAAGGAACAATCAATAGTACATCTAGTCTAGTGATTCTCAACCAGGGTGCCATGAAATCCTTTTAAGAAGGTCATGTAATATTAGTACTGTTGGGTACACAAACACCTACACATAATTTGTAAGATAAACCCAGAGATATCAAAGACGAATGCATGGTATCTGGCCTGTTGCAGTCTTTTAAATTTATTTACAACAAATGAATTGCTCTATTAGTTTTCCCTGGTTAAAAAAAAACAAGCAGAAGTTAAAACCTCCCATTTTCCAAAGGGTGCCTTGAGTCCAAAAAAGTTGAGATTTTCACCGTGCTAGTCAGACTTCCCACTAACCATACTCTGCCTTATCCTGATGTGTCTGGCAAAGCCAGTAATTTTTTCTTTTAACCATCTGCTGGTAAAAAAGACATAGCATCATATCACCTAAAAGTTGAAAACTGATGAAGCAGTTTATATAACATCTTTAAAAGAACACCACCCACAGCCCAACTGAGTTGTTTAATTATGGTTCCATTTTGTAAATGTTTAATCAAAAAGATTCCTTTGCAGATGGGGAATAATATCCATCAGCATAAAATTTTTAAAAGAGAGAAAGAATCTATTGTTATAGCTGAGTAATTTTACTAGCTACAAAAATTCTTGCGACTAGTGAGAACTAAAACCCAGGCTAGGGTCCTTTTACAGGCTCATCTGCATGTTTATAGCATGTTTGTCCAATGACAATGATCAGTTTTAAGAAATGGAAGGGATGCTGAAAGCGCCTTTCATTTAAGCAATTCCATGGCATCAAGGAAACAAAAGTTCCCTCGGCATTCGGTAGAGCTGTTAGATTTGCACTGTTGCATGCTAAATTTATAGGATTGCCAAGATTTTTTTTTTAGAGAGATCTTGTCTCTCTCCATGACAAAAAGTGCCTACTGACATTGCAAGGTGCACAAAAGTAGCTAACATGCAGTAACTGTTATGCTGAAACAATACACTCTGCTAATAATATCTAGTCTCTTCCTCTAAGCCTTGATCTATGCAACTGATCCATGTTCTGAATAATTATATTACACCTTTTTTCCACACTAATCGCATTTTAAACTGTTAAAAGTTAAAATGCCTTTGCTTTCTAATTTTTTTTTACTAACAAAAAAACTTACAGAAACAATGCATTCTGCACCATTCAAAAGGGTACCCATACACTTACAGAGTAGTCATTATCCAAGCCATTTCACTCTAAACCTTTCTAGGGATTATCCACCCTGACACTAAGCCAGGGCTAGATGAAAACATTTGTGTATGTACTAAAAGAAAGCTTCACCTATAAAGTATATGGCATTTGGAGAATTTGCAAATATACACAGCATTTTACCTTTCCACTAGGTAGAACCACATGGTGAATGGCACAGCAAGGTTTTCCACTTTTAGACAGGGTTCAAGAATAAGGGACTTAGTGTCTGGTACAAATAGGAACCTGGTGAACCACCATGCCCAGTCCTGGTCTTCTGAGAGTTCACTGAGCAGTATATTCTTATTGCTCTGTCGCTACATTTACAAACTCTCTCCACTTGGGGCACTTAAGCAACCTGACCTTTATGCTTCAAAAGATAGCATTCCTGGTGAAAGACACTTTTGCCATCTGGCAGATGCCTCCTGTGATCAAACAGCAGTACATCATCTGCACTTCTGAATAGCTTTGGCAATCAACTCTCATGTCTCACACCCAGGTCAGCCTGGTTCAGGTCTAAGCAACCACACTGCAAAACCCTAACGAAATTACTGTATCATGACAGGAGTTGTACCCCTTCCACCCCCTAAAACATTACTTGGTTCCTGTGCAGTTATGAACGGAACCCTTCTCTAATGCTTTCCCCAGAGATTTTTGGGAGAACCTCTGCCCTGGGTACATAGGAGGAACTCCAGATGAAGACTTTTAGCACTCGCACAATTTAATTTGCACCACCCCTTCCCCAGAAGAAAAAGAGTACCTGTCCAACTAAGAGTACAGCTTAGACTCTAATCCATTCTCCCACCAAAAAGGGCATCACCCATGTTAGCCT